GCTAAAATCTATAAATCTAGTACGGTGAGGGGTTAAAATCTATAAATATAATAAAGTGAAGGGTTAAAACCTTCAAACTTAATAAGGTAAGGAGTTAAAAGTAAGTTTTTACCAAAAACAAAAACGCATATCTAACCTTCCAAAGTCACAATCTTAATTTCTTCAAGAGATGTAACCTTCTAGACTCTACAGAGTGACAGTGATGCCGTTTATTGATTTACATCTTCCCTATGTTTAATATTAAATCAAAAGAATCAGTCAATAAACATCCTATTAGCCTAATCTCCACATATCTTTTCAGAAGAGAAATGGTGCAAATAAGGATGTGAACTTTGCATCTTTTTCTATTTAAGGATGTTAAATTTGTTAGTTTTTAAATAAAAATATCAAATTTTAACTTTTTCTATTTAAGGATATTAACTTTTAATTTTTTCTATTTAAGAATGCTAACTTTCAATACTTTAGTTAAAAAATTCGTTTGTTATGTTAGCACTATCATCCAATTAATCCTTAAATAGAAAAAGATGAAAATTGGTACCCTTAAATAGAAAAAATTAAAAGTTGACAACCTTATTTAAAAATTAACAAAATTAACAACCTTAAATAGAAAAAAAACTAAAGCTGGCACCCTTATTTATCAATTTTTCTCCTTTCAGAAATTTGAGATATTATTATAAAATTCACATTACACTGTATCTATATAACAAATCACTTGTAGAAACTCCGATCCAGAACACAAACCAAAAACACCAGAAAAAATAAATTGCAAGTTCATAGCTACACAAAGAAAACACTAATTTGCTAACGTTTAGAAAACTAACAATGATTCCTTCAAGATCACTTGAAGCATATCAGTGCACCTGTTCCACAACGCAAACGATAAATCTCCAATCGATAATGATTCATGTATTTCTAAATCTCATAACACGATGAAGATAAGAGAAATTATAAAACCCTAGATGATCGAACAAAATATTGAGATCCAAAGAACAAACCTACGATATCCTCTTTGTTTTTGACTCTAACGTATCCTTCAATCGCTTGCTTCTCTTTCCCTAGCCCTTCTCCCTCATCCCGACGCAGCTACACCATCCAAACACTTCCGATAAGCAACATGTAAACACAAGCACAAGCAAATATAAATTCGTGAACACTACTTGAAGGTGGTACCATTTATTTCATGAAGCGGAAAACAAAGCACCGGCGTGGCGAGCGACTCCGACGAAGCAGAGGGGTCGTTTCGGAACCGCCATGGTTTTTTGTTCTTCGTTTGGCAGGGAATCATGAGCCGACTTCGCGATCTCGAGATGCAGAAGTGGAGCGATTTACCGAGACGGCGATATCAGGAGCCATAACGCCTGTTTCATAGCGCGTGTTCCGGTGCTGTGTAGCATTTTTTGCACGCAATGAACACGCGGTGTTGACGGTCAAGATTTATTTATTTATAAAGCTGTAATTTCTGACTGAAAGATTGATAGGTCCCATCAATTAGCGTGTTTTACAAGTCATTGATGCATAAGGCTGTTAATTCAATTCGCGTTTGGCTTTAAAAAAATAATAATAATAATATTGAAAATAGTTTATCTAAATTAATATTTACTAAATTTTTTTTTATTGATCATGTTTATCAATTTAAAATTTTTATTTGAAATTAAGGTTAAGAAGTTAATCTCTAATGTATAAAAAATAAAAATATTAATTATCTACTTTGTTAACAACGTGGTTTGCCACCTATGCCTATAATTTTTTCTTATTTTTACTTTCTAAGGATAAACACTAAGGATTTCAACTGGTCTTATAGGTAGAGAAGTCCATCTTCGTCCCTGCAAATAGTGGAGACAGGAATCCACATTGAAATTTTTTACGAGGGATAAATTTACCCTTCGTCTCCATTGCCCACAAGGAATGAGGATCCTGTGGATAACTCCATTTTACACTAATTAATATTAAATTATAAATTTTTTTATTTTTTACATATAATTAATTAATATTTAATTATAATAAATAAAATTTTAAAAATTTAAATACAATTAATTAAAATTTTTTAAATTTAAATTTAAATATAAATTATCTAAATATAAATAAAAATTAATTCGGCATAAATAACTAAACCAACAATTAACAAATTTGTTTCAAACATAAACAAAGATTAATCTAAGCTAAACTAAAACATAAGCAAAAATTAAACCAACATAAATAAAATAATTAAACCAACATAAAAAAAAAATAAGTATTTTGAAAATAAAAAAAATCAGTACCAAGAAGGGCAAAGCCACAAGAGAACCACATATGACTTCGGCAGTCCAAATGACAGCAAGCAGATGGCTTCAGTAGTTTGGCAACAGCAAGTAGATGGCTGCGGTAGTTTGGCAGCAGTAAGCAAATGGCTTCGGCAGCAACAAACCAACACTGTAGTTGAGGGAATGGGATTTGAGATGGTCTAGCCAGTGCAAAGGAGAAAATAAGGGGCGACAGAAGGTGAGCATTGAGAAGGACAAGGGTAAAATCGTAGAAGGGTGGCAATGGAATGGAGGGCATTAAGATGGTAGAGTCGCATAATAGAAGGAGAGGGAAAGCCGGGGACGGTGAAAATGAAAAATGAGAAATGAATTAGGGTTAGGGTTAAATGTAAATAAGGGAATGGGTTGGGTTGATTTTTATGGATTGGGTTGGGTTGGGTAAAATTGAGTTAAGTTTAATTTTGATTGAATTGGGTTTGAATTTGAATTTGGGTTTCAGTTTGGATTTGGGTTTGGGTTTGGGTTTGGGTTTGAATTTGAGTTTGAGTTTGAGTTTGAAAGGTGAATTAAATTTAAAATAAAATTAATTTATATTTGTTTTAATTTTTTGCGGGAACGGGGATCTCGTGGGGCCCCACGGGACAGGAAAAATTTCTCTCAAAATTTCGCAAGGAGAAAATGCTCCACATCCTCACCCTGCAGGGAGGAATATTCCTCCCTACCTCGTCTCTATGACGGGAATCTCTACGGAGATCAAAGAAAATTATCACCCTTAATAAACACCGCCGGGAGAAATATTTCTCCCCGTCTCGTCCCCGCGATGGGGATTCCCACGAGGATTTGAGGAAATTGTAATCCCTAATAAACACTGCCTCTTCTTTTTCCCATCTTTTCAATAAAAATAAGAAATAAAATTAATTAAAGCCATAAAAAAATTATTCTTATTTATATAATCATCTTCAATTCTCTCTACGTTTACACCCCTTTTTTTTTAAGTGCTTTTGTCAAAGCATTTTTTTGTAGCACTAATGTATAGAACTGTTGAACCGTCATACATCACTGTTGAAATAGAATTTAGCAAAGCATATGTTGCATGATATCACTGAGCATTTCTTAATAATTCATACACTGCCAAGTTGAGGTACCTCAAAATCTTATTTTTCAGATGTTATCAGGTGGTGTTAATTATACGCTGCACTGCACTGCCAATCCTTAAAACAGCTGGATTATCCTGCAAACCCTAACTGTGAACCACAATCTTGGATTACATTTAAAAGTCTCAGCGAGGTCCATAATTATTCTAGCCTTAACTGCCATCAACCTAGCTCTAAATGATCAATTCCCTTTCCCCATTTGGAAGAAGATGACTGTGATGCCTGGCCAACTAATATAGGACTCGGACAGATGTTCAACACGATAAGCTTGGCTGTTGCTGCAACTAATGGTGTCAAAAAGGGTAAAATTAACTAAAAGCTACCATGTCTCACGTCATCCAGTATCTACCACATATCTCCATGTCAGTCTAACGATTGGTGCCACAATTAGCTTTGATTGGCCTTGGAGAGGCATTCCATTATCCAGAACAAGTTCAACTATTGGCCATACCATCAGGAATTCTAAAAGTCGCTCATTGATTTGGGGAAGGCCTATTCTTTCAGTAGTGCAGTGATTGATCTAGTTCGGAGGGTTACTCCATTTATTCTCACCGGACAATATCAATCATTGGAGGCTAGAGTATGTGTATTGGATGTTTACTGCTATGGGGATGCTGTACTTGTGCCATTTTCTTATCTGTGCCAGGAGAGGGAAATGACAGTTTTGAACCCTAACTAATGCTAATGATTATGAAGGAAAAATTGTGCCTCAAATGCCTCTCCTGTTTGAGAGCATAACTTCAGATTTGCATTTCTGAATTAAGTACAGTTTTACAATATTCTGCAATATCAAAATAGATATTCAAAGATGAAAATTTGTATATCAATCAAATCTAATAAAGACATTTCCTGAATGGGAGTAAAATTAATGAACTTTGAGAGGATTCTGGTTCATACCTAAGATTTGGAGGGGAAAAACCATATTTGCTCTGTTGAATTGCCAGGGCATTCGGCATTACACCACTCTGGTTCCAAACAATTTTATAAGCAGACATGACAAAAGGCAAAGGCAATGGATGGAATTTCATAACTTTTGATTCACATCTTTAGTGTCAATAGAACAACCATGAACAAGGTTGTCAAAATCGAAATTTTACCTAAAATCGTTTTGGTTAGGTGAAATTGGAATCGTAAAATCGAATCGGAAAAATCGAGATTTTACAAAATTTAATATATAATATTTAATAAATTATATAAAATCAAAATTAAATAACAATAAATCAAATTTAGAATTAGAAACTTAAAATTAGCTAATTAAGATCTAAATATCCAACAACACAAATAAATTAAACGACGAAGATGACTTAAATTTAAAATTTTAGATGGTTAAATCAAATTTGTCCCGAATTCCTGATTAAAATGTTGATTTGTGGTTGGGTTGTGTGAGTTGTAGGCTTTTAAAATGAAAAATGAGCTTAATTTATGGGTTATAGTCAAAACTCACTAACCCAAGATGAGAGACTCAAAAGGAAATAGGCTAAAAGTCCAGCTGACAAATAAAAGGTAAAATCGAGATTTTACCTGATTTCACCTGATTTTACGGTAAAATTTATATTTTACTGTGAAATCCCCAGATTTTATGAATTTCAGATTTTAGTATAGATTTTACACGAAATGTTTTGCTGAAATCGTAAAATCGCAAGATTTTAAGATTTAAATCTAGATTTTGACAACAATGACCATGAATGCATGTGAACATGATGAAGCAACTGCCTCAGGAGAAAAGATGAAGTACCTAATCATTAATCCGTGGGTGAATACATGTTACCTGGTATGAACAATGAAAACCTTCTAAACTCACTAAGGTAAATATTAAAGAAGTATATCAATCATTCAAACCAAATCCAAACTCTTCTATCGGATTGATTAATATTAACACCTTTGTTGCCTACACTGTTTGGCTGTTGGAGGCTGATCCTTGCATTTGATGACAAATCTTCTTACCCAAACATCTTTTCCATTGATAGAAAACTTAACCAAATCATTGTCTCCTAGAATTTTAGTAATGTCTGAAGTTGAGTGAACAACAACACGAGCAAACAGAGGCTCCGGATCAATTTTCATGTAGATTGTCTCTACACAATACCCAAATTTCCTACATCAAACAAAGAAAAAAGCAACGAAAAAAATCAATTACCAAACTAATCTTGGAAAACATTATATTCTCTGAAACAGAACAACAATAAAGATTTTACCTGGTAATAAGATCTTCAAGTTCTTGCTTCGAAATAGGATGTCCCTTCGAAAAGGTAATAAACAAAGTTCGATTCTTTTCTGGGGCAGGAGCAGGATCTTGCACATGATTTTCATTCTCCGGTGACTTAGTTGTTCTCGGAACAATATCAGCGAAAGCTCTTGCACATACATTATTTACAAAATCCATAATAGCCTTAATTGTGAATTCTTTACAGGGGAAGATGTGCCCTAAAGAGATTACTTGACCAGCAAGCCTCTCCGTCTGTGGAACATCAATCTGAATCCATGGAAACAGTTCCTCACTGAAGCATTCCAAGCACCGTAAGCACGAAACAGCCTCGTTTGCCAATGCATAAAGATCTGCATCGGACAATGTTTCCGAGTTCTTGACGAAGTTTCTGAAGCCAAGTCTTTCAAGCCAATTCCAGAAAGCCACAATTATCATTGAGAGGAGAGGATCCAATCCTAGGGAGATAGCCAATCTTGCATATGCGTAGCGATCAGTAGTGTGGAAATTCTTGAGTTCTTCAATGGAAATCTTCGAAATCAATTCCATACTGAAAACCTTAACTTTCATGGGATATTTTCAGTGGGGAAGTTTTTATCTGAGAATTTTGGGTTCAGGGGTTTGGGGAGACTTAGGGTTTTCTTAAATACCCAATACCCAAGACCCAAGGAAGTGTTGAGCAAGAAGGCTTCCTTTTTTAGTTTGGCCGACAATAAGGGTTTTTGAAAGAGCGACAAATAAACGAAAAATTTTCCAAAGAAACAATAGATGTATTTAAATCAGAACACAATCACTTGTTTGCAGGAGATAAACCCTATCCTTCCTATTAAACTCCTAGGTTATTGGCTAAATTTCAGATAGTCTTTTCATTTATTTTTGATTTTTTTTTTTTTTTGTTTGGATGATCAACATCATTTTTTTTTAGTATATTAAAAGATGAGTTTTTTTATCATGTGCTTTAAAGGTGTAATTAATATATTTTTTATAATTATTTCTTATTAAAAATGTAAATATTGATTTTGATTTAATTAATCAATCAATTAAAATTAACCTCATATCAATAATAATAAAATAAATTTCAATTTTTATAATTTTTATATAAATTAATTTTTAAAAAATATATTTATTATACTTTTAACTTATATTCTAAATTTATAT